CAAGATTATACAGAAAGCTGCAGATTGACGATCAAACTTTATCTCAACCCAATCTACCTCAGTTATAAATCATCCACTCCTATAAACAACATACAGTAGCACCAATACTTCATATTCATCAAATAATCAAACCAATATACAACCATTAAGAACAAGAATCATAATCAAATTATATAAGTTTCCCTTACCTCTTAAGCTTAGTCGAACTCACGATTGCAGAATCAAGCTCACCACTACCCAATCTTATGCACCTAGAGTTTCTTGATTTACAAAACTATACCAAACAAAAGACTAGAATTACTATCAGGAATTCATAGAAGAAGTTGGTAAACTCATGAAACTAGAAACTTGGTTTGCATGTGACAGAAAACAACAGTGTCGAGAGAGGAATGAACTTACCAGCTCAAACCAGCAACTTGATCGGTGCAAAAGAAAGCTCTTGACACCAGGAAGTCTCAGACGTGGTCTGATTGCAGATTGGAAGAAGAAAAATATGAGAATTCTTAGAGAGAGAAGAATGAGATTTGTAGAGAGAAGGAGGAGGAAATGAAGAACTCAGAAGGTTGAAGAAGATGAGTCACGAAAAATTGAAAGCTTAAGTTTTTCATAACCGTCAAAACCGATCGGCCACTCCGCTGCTCACACCTGTCTTCCACTTTCTGATTTTCACTAACACCTGATTTCCACTCACATTTGGTTTTTAAGGGTTTAGACACCTTACACCTACACATGCCTTCCACTAACATGAGATTTTAAGAGTTCTGACAATTAATTACAATCATTTGCAAATATCTTTACTTTTATTCCATTTTTCTTTCCTTTTTCATTTATTTGATTTCCATCACTTAATCCAAGCAAAATATAAAAGAGGTATTAATTCTTTTTTAAAAATACATAGGCGATGAATATTAAATAACATATAGAATATCCACTATATATTTTCATATCATCTCACCATCAATAAAACAACACTTCAAATTGCAATAATATGGACTTGTTAAGTAATACACCTTATCATACACATATAAGTAATAAAACCAAAACTAAAAATTTGTTTTAATTCTATAGTTGTTATAAAAAATTCAATTAGATTTTTAATTTTTATTTGATTTGATTTAATTTTTTAATTTTTTAAATGATTTTCTTTTTCTTATATTAATGTTAGATTTCCATTAGAATTTATATGTCAAATTATTTTACATAAATACAATTTATACGTTAAATAATTTTATCTAAATTTTGTGATTTGATGTATAAATTTTAATAAAAATTTAACACTAATCTAATGGAAAGAACTTAATTAGATTATTGTTAAAAATTAAATTGAATACGAAATAAAAATTAAAAATATAATTGATTTTTTTATAAGAATTAGGGGATAAAAAAGATTTTATTCTGAAATCAGTATACAAACACATAACTTCGAATGAATTATGAAAATTGTCATCTCACTTATTCATTTATTATAGTGCCTTGTTTGTATACAATATGGAAAAAAAAAAGACATAAAATTCTAAATATACGAAAAACAAAAAATAATAATAGGTAAAAAAAAAAATATGATGCTATTAAGAATTCAAGAAAATATAATTTTTTTAAATATCAAATATAAAAACAATCGTATTTACATGAATTTCAAATCAAATCATAAATAATAATTAAATAATTATAGAAAAAGTAAAAATAAGGATTTCAAATAACGAAATTAACAGCCACAATAAAAGTTAATATACTTTTTTTTTAAGACTGTCTAACAAAGTAAATTATTAAATATGAGGACATACATGAGAACATAAACATCTCACCATATATTACTCAAATCCGTACTTATTCAACTATTTTCACACATCACCAATTCCCGTCACACAGTGATGAGTTAATGAAAAATTACAAAAATTTAATATCCTTTATAATATCTAAACTATTCATCTTTATGTTTATGTCGAATGAGTCAGGCATAATATTTAATTCAATTATAAAAACTAGAAGGATTGCCAAGACATTACATAAGAACATTTTAGTAAAATACAAGAACTTTATTAGATATACTGATATTAAAAAATAAATATTTTAAAATATTATCAATATATAGTTTTTCGATATTATGTTGACAAAATACGTTTAATATTTTCTTTTCATGAAAAGGCCACTGAACAGAATCAAACTAGTCTCTTCACTACATACAATTATCGAACAAAAAGTTTAAATCACTCAAATGTCTTGGCAAAGACCGGAAAACATTCGCTTCACAATAGAAAGACAAGTATTAAATTGTAGCTATTAAAACACAACGCATAAACCTCATCTACAAAAATATATTATAGAAACTAACACATTAACTATAACAATTTATGTGTATATCTTGATATAAATTTTATTTTTTATTAAATATATTATTTTATTTGTTATTGAACTAAATATTAATGTCTAATTTATATATGAACGTAAGAAAGTGTTAAAAATTCTAAATCAACTAAAAATAAAATTAATTTAAAATATATAATGTAATTTCATTTTACAAACCACTTTCAAAAAATCACTTTCTTTAAAGTCAAATTAAATTTAAAATCTATTGTTTCTTTTTGATAGCTAATTTTTCTTAATGAGTATTCTGAAGAGAGAAAAAAAAAAAGGATTTCAGCTATTTCATTCCAAGTACAATTTGAAACACGAGCACTGAATTTGAGCAAGCCCCACCACTAGAAGGAAGCTTCCATATGATTCATATTCAAGTGATGATAATTCATGAACACAGAAAAAGGCATCGTTTCGAAAAAAAAAAAAAAGTTGCAGAGGTCGACATAACAAAAAACGTTAGAAATAAAGAGGCCCACGGCCATGTTTGTTCTCTGGAGCAGTGGATAGAAGATAAATGTTGAAGAAAGGACATGGAAGACGCAGCACGTGCAAGTGTCACATGTTTTCTTCTGTTCTCTTTTCTCCTTCCAACGTTTCCCAATAGCCCCACCCTCCTTCGACCTCTTCACGTCACATCAAAACCATATTTTTTAAATTAAATTTATTATTTAAATCACAAGGTCTTATTCGTATTTCTTTTACAATAATACTAAAATATTTTATATTTTACTGATAAAAATAGAAAAATGTTATACATCTCCCCTTTCCATGAAATTTATTCAATTGAAGACAAGTTATTAATGTATCAAATTATTTTGATAAACTCTGCACAAAATTATTTTAGAAAATGAAAGATGATCTCTGACTAAATTTCAGTTATTTTCTTTTCTGATCCAACAGGATTAGTTTCAGTTTTTTTTTTTGTTTTTTATAGGAAAGTATATTAGTTTAAGGTAAACGTTTAAATTAAAACCCTTCCAAGTTGGGCTAATTAAAACGTTACTCAATTGTGACGTGTCAATGTAGTTGTCATTATGGAACGTGCTTTCCTTCAATGTCCTATTTAATACTCCCGCTCCTTTATTTGTCCCATTCTTCTTTAAATTACATGTAATTTTTTTCTTTTTCATTTTTAAATTACAGTTAAATATGTTTTTGATTTTTGATTTTTTTAATTAAAATTAAATTTTCTTTAAAATTTTGGATTAAACATTAACTTTTTAAATAATTATTAGATTTATTTAAAGTTTTAAATGTAATTTTTAATTAATATTAAAAAAATGTTAAATAGAATCAACAACTCCATCTCTTACGTAATACAATATAATCAAGTTTTTTTTTATATAACTAAATGAATTTGAATTTTATCAAATTTTACAAATTTAACGTTTTTTTTTCATTAAAACCTATGAATATTTATGATATATTCAAGGTGTAAAATAACCTTAAAGTTTACAAGTAAAATATTTAGTGGAAATTTTATATAATTTAGAGGATTTCAGGACGGAAATGCTGGAGTTTTAACATTAAGCACAATTTTATATTTTGATAGCTTTCAAGAGAAGTTCAAAACAGTGGTGATAAACCCCGTTTTAAACAATTCAAACTGTACACACCGATATAATAAAACCTCACAAATTTCATTTTATTTCGTGTTTAATCGTGTTCAACACTATCCCCTTTCAATCGGCTCAACTCTTTCATTATTATTTATTTTTTGAAATATTTTATATCCGAAAAACATCATTAAAGCTTACTTTGCATATTCTTATCTGTGAATGCAAGCCACTAATATCCAGCTGTATTTCGTACAGATAATAATTTAACGTTGCTGGGGTGCTACCACTGAATTCTCTTTTTTTCTTTTCATATTATTCTTTTGTTTTTCCATAAACAAAAGAGTTATTTGAAAATTTCACTTTTTCAGTTTTAATTATTTTGAAGGATTTTAGATTAAATTTGACAGCACGTTGAATTGTCTTAATTTTGAATTACTTGATTTTTTGACACTGTAATGAAATGACCCTTTTATATTTTAAACAATCGAACCTTTGTATATCGTTAATCGCCAGAATTAAAAATTTTCTTGACGCTAAATTGGATCATATAGGATCACATTTCTTGCATTTTATCGTAACGTATAGATACAATCAAGATAAGGAATTTTGATTGAATATTGAATTTTGAAAACTAATTTCCTTTGTATCGTGTTTGAAACACTGATACATAAAAACGACTTTTCAGTTGATATTTATTTGATAATTGAGACAGCTTTTATGGGATATACATTTCAAAACTAAATGTCAGCGCTTTTATCCCTATAATGTTAAAAGTATTTAACAGAAATACCATGATTTAATAAATTTGAAATCTAATAATTTAATTTTCTGTTAATTAATTTAGTTTTATATTCTTAATAACGGGTGCGCACACAAAATTAGCTTGAAGGGAAGTTTTTGTGAGTGGGTTTGATTTATTTCCAATGAGGTAACGCAGAAACGTTGATTGGATGACCTACAATCCAAGTTGTGATGAACGATTTGATCACCATTTTTTGTGTTACGAGTACGATGTTGAACAAAAAGAAACAGATTGCCACGTGTCGCGGTGTAAGAAATAGGGAGTAGCGTGGGTGGAGCGCACTGGATTGCCCAAATAAACTACGCTTCGCTTTCTGCAACAACATTGCTAAAATAAGATTTAAGATAAAAGACTGGATCCGATTCATGTCACAGCATTCCGGTTCGGACTACCTTTTTCGCGGCGGTGCTAGTGGCGGAGACTTGGCGCCGGAATATTCCCTCTTTACGCCTCCTCCTTCTTCCTAACCTAACCTAACCTTCTTCGCTTCAAAACCACTTCATCTCCTCACTCGTATCTCTCATTTCCCTTCTCCGATTCGCTTCTTCTCCTCGCTTATCGATCTGCTTTCTACAACCTTTCTATAGACAAACCTCAATTTCTCAGCTGATTTGGTGTGATTCGACTTTCACTCGCGTCAATTTTCAGGTTTTTTTCTTCCTTCTTTTGCCCCTTATTTAGTGTTTAAAGAACAAAAAAGAAGAAAAAAAAATTGTGCTTAGGCATTCTTCATTCTGGTTTGTCATCAGAATTTATAGATCGATGAGGACACGGTGTCTGCTATAAAGTCTTTGATTTTTTTTTTTTGTGATACTTTTAGGGAGGGAGATGAAAAATAGTTTATTCCTTAGTTTTGTTACTTTATATATTACACTTGTCAGGAGTTAGGGGAATACTTGTTATTCGCAAGGTATGATTTGTGAATGTGTTTTGAGCTTGAATTGAATTAGTAATGGTTTCAATGCATTATGCTGTGCTAAGAGCCGTTGTTGTTGGTATCTGAGAAATCGAAAGAGGTGACTTTGTGATACATGGGAGTATTTTTTTCACTGTGTAGAGTGGAGATTTGTTTGGGTTTTAATTGGGTGGTTGCAATTTTTTTGGTGGAAGGAAGATTGATATGCTCTGTGACTATGTCGTTGAAAAGCATAGTAAGAGAACTGAAGGAGATGAGAGACGGGATTGGCAACATGTCAAAGCGAGGTGTGGAGAGCAGGCGTTGGAATGGTCGAACAAAGTCACATGTTGCTCCAGATATCACTCTAACTTCACTTGAACCGATTCAGCAAGGGCAGTGGGCGCATTTACCCCCTGAGTTGCTGCTGGACATAATAAGTAGGGTGGAAGAGAGCGAGACTACCTGGCCTGCACGTGCCGTTGTTGTTCATTGTGGTTCAGTTTGTAAATCTTGGAGGGATGTTACCAAAGAAATTGCCAAGACTCCTGAACAATGTGGAAGGATCACATTTCCTATTTCGTTGAAGCAGGTGATAAATTCTTCTCCCTTGCGTAGCTCAATCTTAATTTTCCTTTTTCTCTGTTTCTTATCTTTCTCTTATGTTTATAAACAGCCCGGGCCACGGGATTCTCCAATACAGTGCTTTATCAGGAGGAACAGAGAAACTTCTACATATCTATTATACATTGGCCTGGTGCCATGTAAGTTTGTTACTTTGTTCATTGCTGATGTGTACCATTTCTTTTTCGATAGAAACAGGGATGCTATGTTTCTCATTTTAAGTTACTTATTAAAATTCTGAGCGAACAACTTTGAATATTGAACTGCAAGTTTCTTACACTAAAATTCATGATTCATGTATTATTAAACTCATTTATTTATGCACAATGGTCAACATCATTATCTTTGGAACTCTTCTCAAATGGATTACTTGGTATTCACCCACATATATTGTGAACCAGAATATATTTGAGCTATTTGAAGAAGAGGAAAATCGGATAAATTGGATTTACCAAAAGCCAAGCCAACTTTTGTTCTTGAAGCGATAACTGATAAGTTGTGTTATTTTGATGTTAATTCTGCAGCGGAGAACGAGACTGATAAGTTGCTACTAGCTGCCAAAAAGGTAAGAAGGGCAACAGGGACAGACTTTATTGTGTCTTTGGTTGCAGATGACTTTTCTCGCTCCAGCAACACATATGTTGGAAAACTCAGGTAAGTTTTGGTTTGATAGAAACATGCCTTTATTATTTTTCATCTGGCTCCATACCATATCTTTGACTTGACAATAAAATTTGACAGGTCTAATTTTTTGGGTACCAAGTTCACTATTTATGACAGCCAACCACCACACGGAGCTGCAATTCAACAAGATAGTGGGTCTAGTAGGAGATTCCATTCTAAGCAGGCATCTCCTAGAGTTTCAGCATTTAACTATGTTGTTGGCACCATTGCCTATGAGTTGAATGTTCTCCGTGCAAGAGGGCCAAGGAGAATGCATTGTACCATGAACTCCATACCTGTCTCAGCTATTCAGGAAGGGGGCACTGCTCCAACACCTACGTCTTTCCCTCAAATCATTGACAAGCCTTTTTCTCCCTCACCAGCTCTAAAAGGAAAAGGTCCAAGTACAGATTTAAATAATGTAAACCTCCCTAAGCTAGCAGTACCTAGTCAAGGGTCAGCTGAGCCCATGGTACTAAAAAATAAGGCTCCTAGATGGCACGAGCAACTGCAATGCTGGTGCCTAAACTTCAAGGGTCGTGTTACAGTGGCTTCTGTTAAAAACTTTCAACTTGTGGCCGCTGTTGATCCATCTCATAATGTTTTAGCTGCAGAACAAGAAAAAGTAATCTTGCAGTTTGGAAAGATTGGAAAAGACATATTTACTATGGATTACCGTTATCCGCTCTCTGCCTTCCAAGCCTTTGCCATATGTCTGAGCAGCTTTGACACCAAACCAGCTTGTGAATGAAACCAATGGCACTGGATCATCTGCTGATTTGTATCATACATGTAATGTGCCAGGCACAGTTCCCTCAGGCTTGGTGGGGCATGCAACTGAGGGGCTGTGCAGTCTTTAGTATTTCCCATTGTGTTAGTTCATTCTGGAATTTAACTTTATGCTGTTTCATAGCGCTGCAACTAAAAGTAAGCTTAGTGAATCTTCACTTTTATAATATAAAGTCTCATTTTATTTCTCACAAACAAATCTGGTTTTTGTTTTCCAATAATGAGTTTTTAGTTGTATGTAGTTCCGAGTTATTTTCCTTCAATGTTATACAGCTGACTTTATATATATATATATATATATATATATATATATATATAAAGAAGTAATTTTCTGTAGTCAAGGTTATTATATATATTACATATACATGAAAAAAAACATATAAATATGAAGGTAATACGTGAAAAGAAAAAAAAAACTATTTCT